AAAAAATCAGCTGGGCGTTGGTAGCGCCATGCCTATAATTCTGGCTACTTGGAAGGCTGAGGCCGAAGGATCGCCGGAGCCCAGCAGGTGAGGCTGCGGTGGCCGGGAGCGGCCACTGCACTCCAGTCTGGGTGACAGAGTGAGACTCCAACTCCGAAAAAAAAAAAAAAAGAAAGGAAATGTAGTAAACAGCAATCAGTAAAACACTAACTATGTATTGGCTGGAAGTTGAGATGTTATCATATTGGGACAGTAGAGAGAGTGGAAGGGACAGGCTTATATGTGAGTTAAAGTCCCTCATCTGCCATAGTAGGAAGTCAAGTAGATAATGTCTAAAATGGATTATCAGAAAAGAGTATAGGCATGTTATTTAGAATTATGAAAGTAAATATAAATACCAAAAGAAATAGATGAAAGTTTTAAAAGTGGTTGCCTTTGGGGAACAAAGCCAAAGAACTGCTATTATTTTATAAGCCTTATAGTCTTGATTTTTTAAAGCTATTTTTGCATATTTTGATTGAAATAGGAATATATTGCAAAGATAGGCTTGGAGTATTAGTGTGCCTATAAAATTGTTGAGGAAAAACATTTCAGTAGATGTTTGAGTGCTACTTATTATAAGGTGCTGTCGTGGGCCCTATAAGAAATACCACAGAGAAAAAGATAAGGCACCTGCCCAGAGTCTGGTGGAAGGAATGGTACTTATATGATCCAAATGGCATGTAAGTGCTAAGAGAGATGCACAGCACTGAGGGAGGCACTTCATATGGTGGAAGGTTCCTTGACCATATGTGATAAAACAAGCATGATTGTGCTGTCCCTGATTTACCTCAGTCATGAAAACAGCTAAGGAAATGTGCCACAAGTTTTATCTTAATACTTCAAGTAGAAAAAACTTGGCCATTGAATTCAGACCCTAGCAGTATACCACATCCAGGCTGTCTGAATTTGGAAAACTTTTGGGTGTTTTGTGAACTATAGCATCCTCATCTTAGACTATAGATGTAGGTAGTGACACCTCCCTACAGATTGTTGTAAGATATGCACCAGTATGTTATTCCCTGCCTACGTGCTCAGTGATTACTTTCTCCTCCCCTATTCCTTTCATTTTTTTTTTTTGAGTTGGAGTCTCACTCTGTCGCCCAGGCTGGAGTGCAGTGGCACGCTCACAGCCACTGCAGCCTCGACCTGCTGGGCTCAGGTGATCCCTCCACCTCAGCCTTCTAAGTAGCTGGAATTACAGGCACATGCCATGACATCCGGCTATTTTTTTAATTTATTATAGAGATGAGGTTTCGCCAGTTTGTCCAGGCTGGTCTCGAACCCATGAGCTCAGGCAGTCCTCTCACCTTGGCCTCCCAAAGTGCTGGGATCGTAGGCATGAACCATTGTGCCTGGCCCTTTAATTTCCTAAAACTACAGAACATCTAGGAAAGGAGATTAATCAGAGTGAAAAGATCACTGGGAATTTTAACCCTTTGCACTCTGATGTCCCCTCTGAGGAGACATCCTAAATCTAGCAAACCACTCAGGACAGACATAAAGAACTTGCTGGTGATTATACAGAAAAAAACTTATGCAAGCGCACATTTTTTAAAAATGTATGTTTCCTTGAAGTTTTCCATTCAAATTACATGAAAAAGCAAATAAAGAGATGGAATATATAGTGAGATATGATTGATCAGTTGAGAGTGGTTTTCAGGAATGACGAGTGTGTCCTCCTTCCACATCATCTTTAAACAACAGACTTTACAATAAATTACATATTAATGTAAGGAGGAAAAAAAAAATGAGACTATATTATCTGTTCGAATAGAAAAACACCAGGTGGAAAACATCAAACAAATTACTGTTGTGCAACATGTATCAATGAACCTGCAGTGCATGTCGATGATTGTTTCACACGTTCCTACATGTTAGAAAATCACATATAATTTTGATTTTTTTGTCATAAATAAGTTCCTCGATATCCAAAATTCCATTATAAGCCAAATATCATTACAATAAATAATTGGTTTCAACACTTTACTGTTTAATATGAAGTGATCTGTTTTTCACTATTTTGTTAAAAAGTGTGGTCAGGTTGCTTGGTAGGTGATCTACAAGATGTCTCTGAGTACAAAGGGTTGAAAACAAAAGAGACAATAGAATAAGTAGTATTTTAGGAGATTCTCAGCTAGTGGATTTTAGTTTCCTTAAAACTTTTAAAATTAAAAAATATGTTTTCTGCTCCCAGTCCAAAACAATGTGTTGTGATGCAGTTTGACAGTAAAAATGCCAGAAATAAACATGTATCTTTTTTTTCCAGCTTGAAAATAAGGAACTTCGAGAATTACTGTCCATCAGCAGTGAGTCTCTTCAGGTCAGAAAGGAAAACTCAATGGACACTGCTTCCCAAGCCATCAAATAACTGAACTCTAAATGATGGCTAGAGATTGTCTATCAAGGAAGGAAGTTATTATCTTCCCATTCAAGTATTGTCCATTCATTGTCTTGCCTCAGACTTGGATTAGTGTTGACTAAAGGTATCAGGTGGCAGTTTAGAATTTCCAGTCAGTATTGGCTGTCCACAAAATGGTTTTCAGGTGTGTGTGAATCATGCTGAGTTTCACCATTCCTTTCTTAAAGAGATTACTTTTAATTTTCATTTCTGGGACCTTGATTGATATGAACCATGTTTTCAGTTCATATTTATTTTTCACAACTCTGAAATTTTGAACATTTTATTATAAGCCAGTGATTTTATTTTATATAGCACTGTAAAACACACTAGAATTTTTAAAAGAGATTTAACTTTTTAAATCTATTTGGCATAAACCTGGATTTTTTCCATTTGACAAAAGTAATACAATTGCACAGAACTACAGGGGCAGATTCTCTGATTTGCAATGTCATTCACTTGGGAAGTTTTTAAGTCTCTCTGGTGCTAAGAGTTGGCACTTCATGGCCTGGTGTCTTTACCCTTAATTTGAGAGAGGCTACTGCTAGTCCCTAGAAAACATACTTGAAAATAAGTCAATTTTCTTTTTCCCAGTGATAACATAGTTGTCATATTGTTCAAAGTTTTTATTGTTCAAAGCTTAGGAAGCTGTCCTGTATATGTATATGCACACATATGTGCTTAGTTCAAATGCTAAAAGTAGCTTTTATTTATTCTATTAAATATAAGTAATCAAAAACAAAAATATCAAATAAACACACAAAATATATATATATATACGTAGTCAGTTTTTCAATTTTGTCCAACTAGAAAATCTTCAACTTACATCACATATGCAGTGTGAAGAGTATCTCAGGTGTATTCCCATCATAGTTCTTAGGTCTGACATTCTGCTGTTTAATTTGAATAGAACTTCTCTTTTATAGTTAAGAACCATCACTTACTTTGATGTCTTTCATTACTAGTGCTAATAGTTGGCTTTCTTTTTAGATCTGTTTTTTTATACAGAAGCAGTTTTATTACCTAATGAGAATTATTACATTCATAATCCTGTGTAGGCAACAACAGAGCAACATTGAGATTCAAACGCTGGGTGGTCAACCAGGTTCACTCATCAGTTCACTTCCCTGTCCCAGTTTACTCACATTTCAGATGTATAAATTACAGGTAGGTGTGGTGGGTCACACCTATAATCCCAACACTTTGTGCCAAAGCAGGAGGATTACTTAAGGCTAAGAGTTCAAGACCAGTCTGGGCAATATAGCAAGACCCTGTCTCTATAAAAAATAAAAATAAATTAGCCAAGCTTGGTGGCACTTGCCTGTAGTCCCAGCTACTTGGGAAGCTAAAGCAGGAAAATCAGTTGAACCCAGGAGGTTGAGGTTGCAATGAGCCATGGTCACACCACTGCACTCCAGCCTGCGGGCAACAGAGCAAGGTCCTGTTTCAAAAGAAGTAAAAAATTACTTCTTGTTATACTATTCTATTTGGATTTGCCCAGAAATAGCTGAAATAATGAATGCTAAATCTGCCAACATTTTCCAAAAGCATTAGGTACCATAATGCCTGGGAGAGACACGGTATTAAAGAGAGTTTTGTTAGCGATGTAACATTTCTTTGGTATTGCTATAAAGAACCTCAGTTAAAATGGGAAAATCTCAGCTGTCCCAAAAGCATTGATCGCAGTAATATCAGTGGGTGTTGGCCTAGATTAATGTGTGTTAGTGGATATGTATGTCATTTTGGGATTTGTCAAATTTCTATTTAATGTCCTACATGAAATTTGAAAAAAACTTCCACCCCCAAGTATGAGCACTTTTAGTTTCATTTCCCAAAAGTAGGTAAACTGTTAGCCCAGCCATTTGCCTTGAAGTATGTGCTAAGTGATCCTACAAGTCCATTCAGGAGGCAGGTAATCTATACCATTTGTCAGCCATGCCCAAACCTGCCATGGCCAGGATTCAGTGAAAATGATAATCAAATTAAGGTATAACATAGTGTCCCTTATATCTGTCTTATATTCCTTTGTAGTCGTTTATAAAGTGATTTAAATCTCAGGTATTCGGATAAATTGTATGTTAACTTTTCTCCCTTGGAAATCGAAAGCTTAGAATATGAGTCTAAAGAGCTTTTAGGCTGGGTGTGGTGGCTCAAGCCTATAACCCTAGCACTTTGGGAGGCTGAGGTAAGGTGACTGCCTGAGCCCACAGGTTCGAGAACAGCCTGGACAACTTGGCGAGACCTCATCTCTACGGTGATAAGTCAAAAAGTTAGCCGGGTGTGGTAGCAGCTACTTGGAAGGCTAAGGTGGGGGGATTGCCTGAGCGTGCCACTGCGCTCCAGCCTGGGTGCCGAAGTGTGGCTCCAATTCAAAATAAACAAACAAATAAATAAGTAAAAATAAAGAGCTTTTTGTGCCCTACATAATATAAATTCTGGCTAGTGCTAACACTACAAAGGTTTGATGTGTTAGAAAACTGAATAGGGGGTGGGGATGCGCTTCACTTTGGATATTAAGGTTTCATTTTCAGTGGATAGAGGAACTTGACTGGTTTGGAAAAATCTTACTTCAAAATTATTTTTAATAAAAACTTCACTTTAAGAATATTTGCTGGTAACCCCTTCGAGTCCCCTCCCACTGTGGGAGCTTTTCTGTCCTCTCAATAAATCCTGCTTTAAAAAAAAAAAAAATTTGCTAACTTTACTCAGTAATGAAGTGTAGAAAGCACAGTGGGTTTTTTTTCACATATAGCAACTTCATCAAGGACAAGAGTTTTATAAGCAGTTTGTAGCACAGTATTCAGTGTAACTCTAAAAATAGTGCTTTTATATTAGCATACTATTAATTACATCGATGCATTACATGCAATTCTTATATTAAGAACTCAAATATTAAAGGACTATTTCAGTGTTACTCAAATTTTGGTTCACTGACCTACTGAAACAAATTTGAGGATAGGGTCCAGGAATTTGTATTTTAGTAATCATCCCAGACAATTCCGAAGTACACTGGTTTAAGAATGTCTATTGTATGTGCCAAGCCATTAGCAGTTATGGATAGAAAAATTTTAAAAATGATGTTAACACTGTTTTCAAAGAAACATCTGGTAGAAGAAACACATATAAATATTACAACGCAATGTGGTAAATTCAATGTAAGTAGGTATAGGAAACAGAAGAGGGACTATTTAAACTTGAGAATTCAATGGAGATAATAAGTGGGTAGGAGGACAACTAGAAAACCTTGATGTCACAAAAGCAAAGTGTGGATGGTATTGCCAATAATGGCTACTATCTGTTGACTGCTTTACTATGTGTTACGTACTATATTATATAATCTCCATTTTAACTGTACCTCATTTTACAAATACAGGCACATGGAAGTTGTTATTTGTCCAAGATTCAAACCCAGGCAGTCTTAACCATTCTTAGTCACTAACAAGATACCTGGAAAGTGTCATACTGCTTGGAGTTCAAGTGGTTCTTGATTAGCAAAATCTGTTTTTACTAATTGTGCAAAAGAAACACCACAGCTCATATGTAAAAAATATCATGAATTCAATAAATACAATCTTAACTAATGTCTGTTTTCTAGAATGGTGTAGCTGAGAGTGTGTGTGCATGAAGCTGAAAGGAACAATATTTAATTGGTGGTCCTTTCTACGTACATTAAAGGTGCAGTTCTGTCTTGCAAATCTGCTTCCTCACCACATTGGCTTTCATCTTTCGTGATGTTTTCTTGTTGCTAGAAGGTTGCTGCTGAGTCAAATGCCATGCCCATGTTGAAGGCAGGGGGAAAAATAGGAAATGTTCTGTGCCAGCTACATAGCCCCTTTTATGAGGAAAAGCAAAGCTTTCCCAGAACTTTGAAACGGATTTTCCCTTGCCTTGTTTGCCTGAGCAGTTAAGTAGCCACTGCTAGCTGCAAAGAAAGCTGGGTACATAGCTGCCCAAATAAAAGCACATTTCTGTTTAGATTTGAGAAACTGTCAGTGTCTGACTTTTACATTGTCAAGTCCTTTTTCCTTGAATATAGTTTTTAGCAAGTGGAAGTGCATCAGCCAAAGGAGTGTTGATGTTGAATAGCCAAGAGAATGGACTGTAGCAGACATCTGTCATCTCTTTTTTGGCTGCCCAATATCTTAACTTCTGTGTTTAGGGAATCCCTCATTGAATGAAGCAGAGCCTTCCTCCTAAATAATCTGAAAGTGAGGTTTTCTCAGCCTCCTTTGTGTCTAGGAAAGATAATCTGCCTAAAACTTTAAAGTTACTGATAGGGCAACCCCTTTGGGTCCCCTCCCACTGTGGAAGCTTTTCTGTCCTCTCAATAAATCCTGCTTTTAAAAAAATTTTTTTAAATTTAACAAAATAAAGTTACTGATAAAAAGAAGTGGGGAACCATGCAGGATCATTGAAAGACGGTGACCAACAACTCTAGCTATGATATTCAGCTCCACAGAGGAACAGCAAAAGTGGTTTGCTTAGTGACAACATTCAGTCTCCAGTGCTGGCAAAGTCCGTGGTGTAAGCTGCAGTGCCTGACCAAAAGTGGAAACAGCGAGGTCTTCACTGAAGCACTTCTCTGATGTTATAGACTCCTGTGGCCTCTAATTCTGGTTTCCTGGCTGTCCTAGAGATCCTGAGAATTATTTTCAATAAAATCTTTTTTTTGGTTAAAATTAACCTGAATTGCCTATAACCAAGAACCCTAACTGATAAAATAGGCATAGTTTAAAAAAAACCGTGTACATGTAAATGTCAACACTTGATACATAATTTTGCACTTATATTTAAATGTAATATTTGACACTTATAAAAGTATAAATGGCATGCAAATAAATTATCAAGCATGGTAACTCATCATCTAACTTAAGAATTATAACATTACCAGTGCTTTGCATTTACCTATTATAGTTCCTCTCCTATCTTTTCCCACCGCCTGCTTCCTCTTTTTAAAAGTTATATCACGTGTAAAAAGACCTAAAGTACGTCTGTATCCCTAAAGTGACTTATCTTTAGTTTTGTTCATTTTCTGAACTTTTAAAAAATGTCATCACACTGTACGTAACCTAGGGATTTGATTTTTTTAACTCACCATGTTTCTAAGAGTCATACATTTTGTTATCACTGTAATTATACATTTTAAGAAATCTTTACTAATATCTGACTTACAAATTTTTAGTTCTCCATCTATCCCATTTAACTATAAGAGTCATTTCATATTCTACAGTTACTTCATTGGCATGTCTCATGGCAACTTTTGGAGTAAATCAAGGAGTATTACTAATATTCATAGTGAAAAGCAGGTGATGCTTTTGTTTTGTCACTCTCCTGGCATGCTAAAGAGGAGGTAGAACCTTCGATTAACGATAACTTCACTCAACATTTCATCTAGCTTCCTAGAAATACGTGTGGAATGAATCTGTAGATTTTTGCATGTTATTGAGCCTAAGATTCATTTTTATTTCATAGTTCAACATCTCTGAAATTGGGATATATCTTACACAGGTAGGGGTTATAATGTGATTGGTTGTAAGCATAAGTAAAATTGGTTTCTGCTCCTGGTGGATGACTGGACAAAGGCAATCTCGATTATAAGTAAGGGCCATTTGAGAAGGGAATACTATTTTTGGCCATTTTCTGTGAACTTTCTATTGACACTGTTTTCATCAAGACAGCATAAAAATTTTGAGTTTGGCTATGTTTTCTGTTGCTCTACAAATACAAATTACACAGCAGCTTAGAGCAATGCTCGTTTATTATCTTACTATTCTGTAGGTCAGAAGTCCATGCAGGACTCAATCGAATTCTTCCTCTCAGGGTCTCACAAGGCTGAAATCAAGGTGTCAGCTGAGGCTAGCACCTTTAGGAGGTTCTTGGCTCTCCCAAGTTCACATGGTTGTTGACAAAATCCATATCCTGGCAGCTGTAAAACTCAGAGATGGACTTCATGGCCAACAGGAAATCATCTCTGACTTCTCTTGTCTCGCACCTCTAGACTCCATTTTATGGACATACTCAACAAACTCCAGTCCAACCAGAATAATTTCCCTCTTGATCAACTCATCTGATTAGAAATCTCAATTACATTTGCAGTAATCCCTTTGCCATAAAAGAGGTGAGTAATTTCCTCTCATATCCACAT